TTTGGTGATGGGAAGCCCAAGGGGATTGCAAGTGAGATGGAAAAAGGCACAAAATTATGTAAAAATAGACTATTATATTATTTGTTCAAAAAAATAATTTTGTCTCATGACTCACTACTGAGTCCTCATTTTGCCATCTGAGTTGCATGAATGGCCATGCAGAATAAGTACTAAGGGGGAACTGTGCTCTTCTCTGGCTCTCGGCTTTCTCTGCAAGTCTGCTGTTTCATTGCGTCAGAACTACTTATGAAAATGGTGTCTCCTTACGTTATGTATGTTCTGAAAGAAGCAGAAACAGCCTTTTTCATCATTCCCACAGCTATTCCAGTCCATTACCTGGCATGAAGGAGGTACTTAACAAATGTCTGAAAGAATATTTTTTTAAACCAATTTTTCCTCAGTCACTTAACAGGTGGCTCTTTTTAACAAGAGAACTTTAGATTGAATTTATCTGTCAGACTTTGAGCATTAAAAACTCTTACTGATTTTCAGAGTTTTCTAACTTTTTCATAGTTGTACAGTCACAATGGGAAACACTAGGGGTTCACCCAGAAGTATTAGTAATAGAATTCTAATATGACCCTGTATTCCATGCTCATTGCTGCATTATTAACAACAGTCAAGCGAGGGAAACAACTTAAGTGGCCCTCATGAATGAATGATAAAAAATGGACACACACATACAAATATTATTCAGCTGTAAGAAAGAAGGAAAGTCTGCCATTTGTGATAACATGGTGTACCTTGAGGACTTTATGTTAAACAGAATGAACCAGACAGAGAGTGATAATGAATCCTCAATCCCATAGAACAGAAAGTAGAAAAGTGGTTCCCAGAGACTGGGGGTTGGAGGAAATAGGAAACGTTTGGCAAAAGAGTGTAGACTTTCAGCTCTGAGAGGAGTATATTTGAAGATCGAACATAAAACACAGTGAGTATTAGCTGATGACTCTGCATTACCTGAAAAAATTTTCTAAACTCTGATTCAGTTAAACACTTTGGAAAGGTAGCTGCTTATTTAAGAAGTCCACAGTAAGGTTGATGATCAAGCTTGGAGAACAGGGTTATGGAAATCAAAGTCAAAGTTCCTTTCTTAAAAAGTTTCTTATTTTCCTGTGTAGTTCCTGTGATGTAGTAGACATTTGACACTACACTGCTTTTGTCCACTAATATTGCCATTAATAAATTTCCTTTCATGCCTCTAAATCCACATCCATAGTCCCAGGTAAAGATCTAAGTCTCTGCTCCAAAGAGCAGAGAATAGGTCCCTCCTCCAGAGAAGTAGGACCGGACCCAATCAGGATCCACATGCTGAGGATAGGTGTGGGAAGATGGTTAAACTGCCAAAGCCATGAACATATGTTAATTTAATTGAAAGGTATCTGAGTCATTTTTCTAAAGGAAAGCCTTCTTTAGTACTTGAAAAATATAAATAAGATAGACCTTGATAATAGTTCCTCCATGAAGCAGAGATGGATTGAAATACACTTCCCGCATGACTGTGCTCTCCTGAAATGCTAGAAATGCCTCTGTGTCAAAGTTTTGCAATAAGAAAAGAGAGCTGGAATCTTGAATTACATCCCTTCACCCCCAACACACACACACACATACACACACACATAATCATGTTACAAGGAAGTTGGTGAGGGGATCTATTCTCTTTCCTCTAGCCTACTGCCTCCTGTTTGTGACTCTTACTACATACAGCAGAGCATCTGTGTTTCAGGAAAATGATGTGTGAAAACAGTTTTCAGAAATGCACACTGTCTACATAAAAAGAAAACCAAAAATATGTTTGGTTACCACTTTGTAGAGCTGATTGAATTTGGCTGTGAATGGGAATCTAATTGCCACCCATTTCTGCAGAGTCTTCTATGAACATTACATTTCTATTAAATAGAGATGTCAGATATAGCATCACAGTGTGCATGCTGAAATAGGGAAAAAATAATCATTGTTTAATAATTTATATTTTTTCTCTACAGACCATTAGAGGAAATAAGCAAAGCCACAGGTACAGAAAGTATCTTTTATGTCAGCAAAGGTAAAAGGAAAATTTTTACTGAAGTGTTACAAATAGCTCCTTAGTTTGTGAATGATGACTGCTGATTATTCTCTTATTCTTCATTTACAATCAGAGAAACTCTTCTTTGTCACCTGCTCTTGTAACCATGGGGTTGGAATAAAAATGTGAGCACATGCAGAGCTGAATTTAAGGGACCTAAAAGGTCTGGGGTCAGACTTAAAATCCTTTGTTGCAGAAAAATCTATTCAATTCTCTATCCATTGACAAGAACAAATAATATTCTATTTTTATAAACTTGGTTACCAGTTCCCCAGCAGTACCCCTCTGCCTACCTTGTCCTTTTCAGTGATTAAAATGCCCAGTAATGACTTGACTTGATAATTTGACTGATTTTTTTTATAAGCAGTTTTCATAGAGAAGGGCCCCACTCTAGGAGTTGAGATAATGAGAGTTGCGGTTAATAACATAAAAGCACACAAAGATGTCAGACAACTATTTCTAAAGCACAACTCGAATCAATATCTGCTTTGATTAGCTCTAATATCCCTAGCTCCCTACCTAGTGAAGTTGAGAGCTCTGGCCTTAGACTTGTAGCATCCTTGTGTTGCAGCCTCTTCCTATCTTCTGATGTTTGTTCTACTGATCTGTATGTACAGTATAGATCAGTTTAGTGATTCTTAATCCTGGTTGCACAACAGAATTACCTGCAGAATATAAACAAACAACCAGAATAAAACTGATGACTAGTTAGCATGCCCAGAGCATACTAATTGACTATGAAGCTGGGGGTGAAAGCCCAGGCATTAATTTTCTTTTTCTTTTTTTGTTTATTTTTTAAGCACCTTAATTTGGTTCATCACAGTTAGAAAACAAACCTCCATGAGTATTTATTTGTGTTATACAATGACAATTTTGTGGGTCAAGAAGTCAGATAGGGCACAGCACTGCACACACATCTCTGCACTGTGATGTTTGGGCTCTCAGCTAAGGCAGAGCAGATGGTGTGGCACGCCTCAGTCAGCCTGGTGCTGTGATATCTGGAGCCTTCTTTAGTCACATCACATCCCTGCAGAGGTTGTGATGGCGGGCTGGGCTCACCTGGAACCTTAGCATAGTGTCTGCATTTGCTTCTCCAGACCACTGTTGCTTCCTCAAAGCATGGTGGCTCAAGGAAGCCAGACTTTCTTATAGGAACTCCAGGACTCCAGGAGCCAATATTCTATTGAAAAGTGAAATTGAGAGGTCTTTACATGCCTAACCTCCAAAGACACATGCCAGACCTTCTGATTCATTGCGGTAGTCACAACCCTTCAAGGTGTCACTTCTGTAGAAAGAGTGTCAGTGAATTTGTGGTTACAGTTTGAAGTGGCCATATATTCCTGGAAATTCCACTATCTGGTCAGACTTGCAAACTGGATACATTTATTGCAAACACTGATGTACAGAGTCCAGGACTGGGACTTTGATTAAAGAGACCCCAAAGTTGCAGAACTTAAGAAATTCCTTCGAAGGGGGTATAACTGCAATATACCACCTCCTTATATTTTGACCAAGACACCTCACTAGATTCACTCTCATCCTGACCCTGCTTCAAAGCATTTGTATATTAATGAAACGTATGGGGAGAGGGGCTTAGATTCTTGGGTCTCATATTTTGTCATTTCAACTTAGCCTCCAGTGGAGACTGGGATTTTGTATGTTTACAGAGATTCCCAGTAGACTGCTTCTCAGCACAGACTTCAGGGGCTTTCCTGGAACCATGTCTGCTCATGCTCCTCCATTGGCTGGAATGTCTTTTCCTTCTATTTCTATCCATTGGAGTATCAACCAGTTTTATGCATTGCAAATACTGCCTCTTTTTAAGCTTTTCACCGTCCTGCATTCAGGTTGATCATGTGGCCAACAGGATAAACATGTTCTCTTTCATGGGTAGGTCAAAATGGAAATCTGAAAGCACCCATCAGTTCTCAGAGTTAAAATCTTGCTGGGCTAAGGTACTATTTCTTTTGTTTCCTCTTATTCTGACATAATTCAACTTTGTAAACCACACAGCAATTGGCACGTACCTTGCACGTCTTAAATGCCCAGTAAACAGTGATGTGACTCGTGAGATTGATGCTTTTGCAGCCTTCCCTGGGGTAGTCAACGATTGAATAGATTACCCTACTTTCAACACTTAAGCACAGGTAGATAACCATTTGTTACAACTGCAGTTTGGAAAGACTTCTCTTGAACATTATTACCTGACAATATTTTCCATGATGCTTTTGATGGTTAGTCTACGCAAAGGTGCCTGCACTACCTGTGTTGCGGCACTGCCACCTTTAAATACCAGAACGCTTTAAAGTAAGCATCATCCTCTGCCCATTTTCCTGTTGAGGAAAACTGAGGCTTAAATACATAGCAACTTATTAGATCAGAAGATAACAATATTTTAAGATTGATTTCTAACCCAGGCCTCAAAGATTCCAAAACGGAATCATTTAACCTCTGTGCTAAACCAAGCGCTCATTACTGTGAGAGGTTTTCTTGAACCCACTCAACTTTTTGGCAGAAGCAGACAGGTCTGTTGGACAAAAAACAAATTTGCCAAAAACTCTTCAAATTCTTCTGAATTTGTGGTTTCCTTCACATGGGGCGAGTTGTGGGCATCCTTCCTTTGAACTTTGGCTACTGCTGACAAATGCTCTTCCATCTGTTGTCCCTCTCTGTGTACCTCCTCTTGTAAACCTCAGCGCGATTTGGAATGGGTCATCTCCACTTGCTTTGGTCAAAAAGGGTGAGGAGTGGGGCGGGGTATGGGGGGCCGCAGCGGGGAGTATGTGAGTCCACACCCCTTCGAGTTGACTCGTTGCTAAGTGCAAGGATGAGCCTGATCCAGATCCAGGCGCTGTCTGCAGAGGAAAGGGGGGAGGCGCGAGTTTGAACGCGTGGGAGCGCGGAGGCCGGAGACTGGGAGCGAGGCTAGCGAGCAGGAGAGTGAGAGGGAGGGCGCGGAGCAGCGCTGGGCTTCTAGACCGCTGCACTGGGCTAGCAGCGTGGAGAGCAGCGGTGCGGCCGCGCCCTGGCTGAGCCTGTGCGGCTGCCTGCCCAGCTCCAACCGCCGATCCGGCCCCCTGAGGATGGAGGATTCCCAGGAGACATCGCCTTCCTCCACCAACTCCTCAGAGGAGCTCAGCTCTGCCCTGCAGCTGTCCAAGGGCATGTCTATCTTCCTCGACGTAAGTACTGAGGGAAAGAGTTAGGTGGGGAGGAGGGAGAGCTACCTATGTGCTGAACAGCCAGCGGGGTTTTGCGCTGGGGTTTTGCCTAGGGAACCCTGGCGAGCACTATCCCTACCTCACTCCTCTCTCCCCCTGAAAACCACCGAGGCAAATGCTAGGGAGAGGACCAGCACTCCACTTGTAAAAAGGACTGTTTCCCTCTAAAGAATCCGAAAAGTTCTATTTCCCCAAAACCTTGGGTTTCCAGAGAGAATAGATTTGTAAATACAGCAGTCTTCGCTTGAGGAAATAGGTTTTCTGAAAGGGGGCGAAGGGAGGGCGGGCATTGTCCCAACTCATGGGAATGTGCCTATTGCAGCCGGGACCTCACTGAGCCTGAGGGGAAACCCGGCAGGGTTTGCGGTCTCTGTGCAGACGGCGCCCTGAGCCTCCACAAAAAACAAATTACTTTAAAATCACTCTTGCTTTTTTTTTTTTTTTTTTACAGTGGTCACCTAGTGCTCGTTCATGATGATTCTTTTTCACAGCCCTCTCCCGTCTTTCTGTTTTTCTTTCCTGTTATTCTCCCTTGTACCCCTGCAAGTTGTAATTACTATGATTATCTTCCTCAGTTTTAGCTCTTGGCTGTCCTGCGGTCCTTTCCTTGGCTCAGATACAGACTCCTTTCTCCTTTTCTCTGATAGGAAGATCAACCCTTCTTTTCCTCTCTCTGTATTTTTCTGTCTTCATGCTGTGATTTTGGTCTGGTTTTGTTTTAATTCTCAATTTTGCTTTAGCCTCCTTTTCCTCTGTTCCTGTTCTCTCATTTTTCACCCTGTTGCCTATTCATTTCTCTGTCTTTAGGTTTCCTTTTATCTGAACCCTCACTTGGCCTGCTGGGCTCTTGACTTTTGGTCGTCATATTTACAATGTCCCCTGAGGTAGTTTCTGGGGACAGTTTTGGTCGCTGCTTTGTTGAGACCTGATGGCAAAAATGGACAGAGTGATTGAAGAGTGCTGTGTGCTGTTTCCTCTACCTTCCCTCCTTGGAGTTACCATTTCTTATTAAAATCAAGATAAGGGCACCAGAGGACAAATACAGTTATTTGTGGAGAGATGAAAATATGAGAAAATTCAATTAGAAGTATCATAATGGTGAGGCAGAGATAATGAAGAGAGGGGGAGGTAGCAAGGGGTCCTCCCGAGTTGGGGTTTATTAGCTGAATTTTTTTTAATTGGGAGTAAAACTCCTATCAATAATTAATTCCCTGGAGATATTGCCTTCCTCCATCTAGATCCAAAGATATGGTTCACACTCAAATGTGTCCCCTGACAGCCTTCTCGCCTGATCACTGTGTAGCTCTTGTAGATTCTGGTTGACAGAATCTTCCCATAGAAACAGAGGTATCTGATCCCCTTGCCTTTACTCAGTAGACCTAACTACGTTATTCAGGAACCCTTGTTCAGAATGGCTTGGTCATTTAGATAGTGTTGTTGGTGCTAATGGTTGAACTGGCTGGTGATATTCCTTTTATGTCCTGCCACTTAGGGCCAAAAATCCCTTCAGGGACTTCACAACTAAACAGGAAGGAAAGAGAAGGTGCCATAGCATTCTTGAGAAGAAAATCTTCAGGGACAGAGAGATCAGGGCCCTTGATAATCACGTCAGTTATGTAGTTGATAGCTAAGCTGCCACAAGTTTGATTCAGAGAAGGCAAGAGGGTCCTCCAGTCATTCTGACCTGATCTTCACTGCGCCTCCCAAGTATATCAAGTGCTTCCTGTGATTTTTCTTTTTTTATATATAAAACAGCAAATCATGGGGATAATGTGGAGAGGAATGGATTGAAACTGTGTAAATGGGAAGTCATCCTCCCAGACACATACACCAACCTTGATCCAAGTGTTCAAACTGTCATTTAAAAACAAAAGAAAGTAAATTAAAATCTCATTTATTATTATATATGCATAACTGTTTCCAAGTCTTTCAATAAATACAATCAGATCCCTACCCTGACAAGACTTGTACTCTGTGAATAGGACACTCTTGCCTTCTTATATCTATTTCTAGAATTTATAAATAAAAATATGAAACTGATTTTATAAGAGGTGTTGACATGCTTGTTTGTCAGTAGAATGATAGTCTACAAAAACAAAAATTTGCTGCTGGATTTTGTCTCAGAAAATATTTTGTTTACACTTTGAGATATTTTGTAAAAATTCCACATTCTGGTGAACTATGTGACATGAAAAAGGATTTGTGACTTGGGGGGTTTTGAATTATTCATTTATGGATCATGTTACTTTAGCAAAAATAAAATGTGAAATATAAATACATAGTTTTATTTGATTAGTTTTAATGTATTCTAGTAGCACTGCTAAGAAAGATTGTTTTTTGAATTCTGTTCAGCTTTTAATAAATAGGTGATAGATATTTCCTATTCCAAAGAGGAACAGAAATAAAATCAATTAAAGTCTTCTGTATCACAGAGACTAATTTCCAGATATGAAAATAACCCTTTGATTTCCAGTGTTTATATTTCAACTAACATAGGAATAATCAATCTTCTAAGAAGTTTTTTAAATTGCTTTTGAGGATACTGTTAATGACATGGCCTGATATACCTAGCTGATGAGGGACTAATCATAGATCAGAACAGCAGGGAGAGATTTGCTACAACTGTTAACATTTGCTTTATGGTCCTTTTCTCCAAGTCAGCAATAATAATGTGCATGATAGTTAATTCTAAAGGTTGCTGTGAAATAAGAACTCATAGGGTCGACACCTGAGTGGGGGGTAAGGAAATGACCTATATCAGTTTGCACTGTTGATAACTGGGTGATCCATGTTGAATGCATAAATAACAGTAGCCAAATTCACACTCTAATGTAGGAAATATTTCTGTATAAATCTGCTTTATTTTATGCTATGATTATCTTTCAAAAATGTGGCAGAATTAAATGTCAATTCATCCTAAATACTCTTGCATATTTACAGGGGGTTGGGGAGCTTAGAAAACCTAGCACTGGTACCAAGGCATGCCCCACACTGAGGGGGTGCAGTGCCTTTGCTCAGGGCACCTCCCCGCCACAGAAGGGGCTCGGCACAGTGGGACACACCTGGGAAAGACTGGAAGGGTGACAATTACGTTTCTTCTGCAGTGTCTTATGTTCCCACAGGTTAGTACATTCCAGATAAGGGAGAATAAACTCTAGTCTAGAATATTAGTTCATATAATGTGAGCACTCTTTTGAGTCACATTAATCAGCCTTGCCACTATGCAAAGAGAAAAGAATAAACCTTCAACTCATTCCCAAGGCAACAAAAGTCCGGGATGAGGTTAGAAGCAATTTCACCCATTTGATGCCACTGTCTTCTTCCAAGTGATTTCTCTATTTTTTAACTGGAAGGAAATGTAAAGCAGAAATTGGACCCAGAAAGTTGTGAAGGAAAGAGATGATTTACCAACCACAAACACTCCTAACAACAGATACCAAACCTGCCCAGCCAGGGACTTCCTGAAGATGAATAATTGTTTTTCAGATACTTAATTCTAAAACATTATACATCTATATGAGAACAGAGATGTAGGACTGAGAGAGCACAAACAACTCTTCAGGAACAATGGTTCTGTGACTGAATTCTGTCACAACTGCACACCTCCTATATCACCTAGTAGGCACTTGAGAGAGATTAATCAACATGTACAGTTGATTGTTGAGAATGGCAATGAACCCCATCATTATCTACCCCAATTGACAAAACAAACCTCACTCTACTAGTTTCTGGAACTACCAAAAATAAGACAATCTTTGCTTTACTGTGTTCATACATTAAAAATTATTTTCTAGCACTATGCTTACATGATGCAAAGTATATGTGCTGTTTATTTCTCTACCCATCCTTCTGTGCCCACTTCCCTGCACCCCATTTCATGGTGTTGAGTGCCTTAGTAGCAGAACTACCTCCTGGATATGCAGGTCCGCACACTAAGATCCCCTATATTCCCTCCTGAACAGTACTCCAGTTTCCAGACCCAACACCCCTGTCTTGTACCCCCGAGTCTACTCTGGCACTTACCGGATCTCTGGGTCTCCAATATTTTTTAAGATTTATTGCTATATTTTTATGCATACAAGAACTGGGATGTAGGGCAGAGATGCAGGGGGTGAAAGGATTCACCAGAGATAGAGTGGGGAACAGAACAGGCAGATGTACTGAAATACATTCTTGAGGGAAGCAGCTGGAGAGACAGGAGAGGTCTGCTGCACCATGGTCACCTCCCTGGCTGGGGATCAAATTCATGCTGCAATGGCTGGTGATAACTTGATAGCGCTGAGACTTTAATCCTTGCACCACCAGGGAGTCCCTTTTGGTCTCTAATTTTTAACCTGAGCATGGGGGGAGGTACTTAGCAAATATTTGTTTAGTGAATGGTGATTGTGACATTGTTTTATTTCTCCAAGATAGCATTTATATTTAACAACTACTTCCAGTAACTTCCAGTGAGAAATGAAAAATTTCAGTTAAGCCCCTTCAAAGATTATCTTTTTGAGAAAAGATTTGAAAAACCTCAAAATTATTGCAAAACATGTGCCATCCACACTAAATTTTAATGCTTAATCTATTTACTATATATCTTGTGAGGGCAACCAGTAAGATTTTTTGACCCAAATTGCTCTGGCAGTGAACATAATGAAGTCAGTTGTTATCTACAGTACATTTTTTATTAGTCTGAGATCAAAAGCAAAATTTGCATCATAGATAGCTCTATGATGGTATTTAATTCCAAAGAGTTGCCTTCCTAACAAAACCTCTGTCTTAAATCCATCTCTAAGAGGCTGAATGTTATTTAAGTTTGCTCTTTGTGAAGTGAAATGACAAAAGTCCTGGGTCCAAGTCTCTGGTGTGTAGTTATTCCTATTCTGGTCACTTCAAACTCATACGGACACAGTGGAGCTTGAAATAGAAGCTTGGAACACATCAAAGCTAAGAAATATGCTCCCTGACTCTCAGCAAGTGTTTCTCAGTCAGAGAAGATGGTTACAATGGAGAGATAGATACCTCAAACCCCTATCAGAAATTAACTCTGTGTTATAAAAAGAATTTGTGTCTCATTATGCTTTTAGCATAGAAGCTCTTACTATTGAAAACTGTTGTACTTTAAGAATTAAATAAATTTGGCTTAAAAAAATTGACTTATGTATGCAAATCAGGGCATACATATCTAACATTGAAAATTTTTAATGGGTGACACTTTTAGTAATAATATTAGCATTTTTTGATAAAACTCATTGTAATAATAATTAGATCCATCTGTTATTCATATCTATAGAGGGAACAGAAAGAAAGGAAGATAATGGTTCTATAGCAGAAACCAAAGGCAGGCAGTTTGGTAATTAAAAACTCTTGCTCATGTTTTAAGCTGGCCGAGAAGTGATGACCTAAATTTTAAGAGTAGCTGTGGTCTTACCCACCAATGCATATTGCTAAGGAATAATGATCCTGAAGTGCCTCTTCCCCCAGATTGAATGTTGTCTTTGCGATATTGCACAGGGATGTTTCTTTGGTGCTATATATAACATAACTGTATATTATAGTATCCAGATTTGTTTTTCCCTTAGTACGGACTCATTGCATATTTGTATAGTAACAGGAAAAATAAAACTCCAAACTATCTTAAATTTAAATAAATAACAAATCATCTGTTCCTGAAATAAGAAGCAGAGATCATCTTGTCAACATCACTTATTCAGGGGCTTCCAGAGTCATCAGGATCCAGTTTTTCTCAGTTGCTGGGACGCTGCTAGTTTTTTACAGGTTGATAAGGTGTTCATTTTCTGGGCTGTTATAACAAATAATGGTACCAAGAGTGGTTTGTACAACAAATCTTTATGCTCTCAGTTGTGGTAGGTCGGGGTAAAAAAGGTATGGCCTGGAGCATGCTCCCCTTGGAGACTCTGGGGAGAGTCCGACCCATGCCTCTCTCCTAATCTCAAATGGCACCTGTCAGTCCTCAATGTTTCTTGGATTGCAGCTCCCTCACTCTAGTGTCTGCCCACATAGCACTTTCTAATCTTGCCTCTATCAGAACTCTCTCCTGATAAATCACTGGTCCTTGGATTTAGGGCCCAGCCCCAGTAAGCCCTCATTTTAAATGAATACATCAATAAAGGTCCAATTTCTAAACAGGGTCCCTTTTACAATTCTGGTGGTTAGAACTTTGGTACAGTTTAACCCATGACATATATGATAATAAAAATGTAGACAGCAGCACCTGGCCTGTATCTTAGCAAGGTCAAAGTCAGCAGATGAGAAAGCATGTCTCTCTTGATAAGTCAAGCAAGCATGACCTGTCGTCACTGGCCTTACTGTGCTCATGATTAAGCAGGCACTGTGGTGGGAAGCATGTGACGCCCAGATGGCCACACCAACTTACTCCAACCCGGGGGTGTATGGGCCAAGAGTGGGGGCAGGTTTTATTCCCCAGGAGAAAATGGGATTCCTTCCCAAGGTTAAGAAGCTTAAGGTTAAGACAATTAAAACTAGGCCCCAAATAATATAGTCAATGCATAGAACCAAAGTAAGATATAGTACAGGCTCATGAGTGCCTAGTTGTAACAATTTATTTTTCCTGTTGTTTCTCTTTTTTTCCCAGTTTTAATGAGATATGAATACTTAAATTGTACAAATTTAAATGAAAAGTTGGTGAGTTGTTACACATGTATATATTTATTAGACCATTATGATTATCAGATGATAAATAGTCAACCCCCAAAAGTTTCCTTATGTTTCCTTCTAAATCCAGCACTCCTTAACCTGCTTATAACTAAGCAGTCCTTAATCTGCTCTTGGTGACCTATAGATACGTTGCATTTTCTAGAATTTTAAATAAATGGATCATAGGTATTATAGTGTATCCAGTCTTTTTATTCAACATAATTACTTTGAATTCCATCTAAGATAATGGGTGCAGCAAGAGCTCATTCCTTTTTCCTCCCCAGTAATATTCCATTATATGCAAATTACCCATTTGTATATTCACTTGTTAATGGACATTTGGGTTGTTTTCAGTTCTTAATTATTGTAAAGAAATATCACAAATTGGATGATATTTACTTACAATTGGAATTTCTTTTATTTAATAAAGGGTGAGTAATTTATGAATATAATGTTCACTGTGATGCTAATAAAAATGGTGATAAAATTTTCCTTTTTTTCCAGATACTGAGGAGAGCAGACAAAAATGGTAAGACCAAAAATCAACAGTTTCTGTTTATTCATCTCTTACCTTTTAAGTCACTTTCACAAGAATAATGTGGAAGGAAGAGGGGAACCCAAAAAGTTGACACATAAAATGTCAACTTTTTGTGCAAGTAAGAGTTTTAGTCAATTTTACAGCACCAGGAATTAAAAGAAGTAAATTGTGCCAAATGCTGGACCAAGTCTGGGCTTTGAACCTATTTCTGGTTGAAACCATGGTCTGGCCTCACCACAGTGACCTTCAAAAAGATCATGGGAGCTACTCCTGCATACTGTGATGGTTATCTGGATGCATGCATTCCTCAATTATCCATATTTATGGCTCCTGATCTTACCTTTGCACAATGATCACTTATTGAGAGAGCGGTTTGGAGTAACTGAAGAAAAAAAATGTTCAGTCAAAAGAACTACAGTTTAAATGATGCTTGCAGAAAGTTCAGTTATAAGCTGTCACGAGCAATATATTTTAACTTCTTTACTCATCTACAAATTTTGTTCTGTAGAATACCAAATCAGAGCTTATTGAATTTATTTTGCTGCTATACTCTTAGTACACAATACAGCTATATTCTTAACAAACTTAGGCTACAAAAATTTCCTTTTCTTGAAATCCAATTTCTTATCTAGGAGTACCAGCAGAGTTCAGATCTGTCAGTTTAAGAACATGTCATAGTCTAGTTAACCATGAAGCAACAAGATCAAGAAAAGCTTAACTGGCACTGTACATTATTCCACATAACAGAAAATAAGTCAGTCTAAGGAGCAATAAAATAGTGTCCCAAATCCTGATAATATTGAACTGTGCCATGTCTAGCAAAATGTTTTCTTAATCTATGTTGCAATGACTGATGTCTTATCACTTTGGTGGGTTTCCTCCACCTCACTGAGCTGCTTGATTATTTTTTTAACACAGAAGACAAGATGTGATCATCTTGTCTCCTTGCCCCACACAACAGCTATCTGCTACCGGGTGTAGGCACGATTGAGTGGCCCATGTCTCTGTGCTACCTGCCTGACATTTCAGGTTAACTAGTTCTCTCCACTACACCTTCCTTTTCTTGGGTTCCAAGGCTGTGATTGAGACTCACTGGTACGTTTGTAACAATCAATATTCTTTCCACCAAAACTTACCTCTTTGGCAGCCCACTATTAAAACAAACAGGCATAAAAATGATCTGAAAAAGCAGCCTAATTGAATGGATATTATGATGACCTCACATAGTATGGGTCATTGGTACCAGCAGCCAACATGGCCTTGTGTAGTCCCATATTTCCTCAGAGGCCTCCTCCCCACATGCAATGGCTCCCTGTTCCTTTCTTCCTGTTCTTAATGCCCCACCCTAGTGAGCTGTCAAAGCTGCCTGCCCCTGTGCACTTACTCCCAGAGTCTTCATTAGGTACCCTCCGAAGCACTCATGAATCTCCCACTGCAACAGTGCATTGACCTCCATCTGCTCTTAGCTTCTCACATAGCCTGAGGACTCTCATGTATTGCTTACTTCCTGCCCCAAAGGGCCTTATTAAGAAAGTCTTCTTCAACTCCTCATGCCAGGTTCCTACCCTCTCTTGGCTGTCCACATTTGGGCATGTATTGATTACTGCCCTGTGGAGTGAGCACTGCAGTTGCTTCGTAGGGATTCTACTTTTCCAAGTCAAACACAACTTGCTAGAGCAAAGAACTTGTCCTGAGATATTCCTGCCAGTCACCCTCAGACACTCAATATGTGATCATTTAATGAATGAATAATGATTAAGGACATTCCACTCCCCCCCCCGCTGCCTCCCCCCCCCACCTGCCTTGCATCCTGCTTGGCTCTTCTCCCTTATTCTGAGTGTGATATGAGAGGAGACCAAAATGTGACATGTTTGGATTTAAATCACTGCAGGCGGGGCCTCCCTTGTGGCATAGGGGTTAAATCTTAGTGCTATCACCTCTATGACCGAGTTTGACCCCAACCAAGCCAGAGAGCTAACTCATAGTGCAGCAGACCTCTCCTGGCTTGTCTGCTGCTCTCCTCAGCAGTGTATTTCAGTAAGCCTGCCTCTTCTGTTTCTCACTTTCTCTCTAATGAGCCCTTTCATGCCCCATACCTCTGGCCTACATGCTAGTTCTTTAAAAATCATTCTTTAAAGTCACTACTAGGCTACCTAGTAGCTTTATGACTTTTGTTAGAGTGTGTTACACTCTGTATCCTCAGCTTCCTTACTGATAAAATGGAGATAACATTTGCCAATGTCATGCGTTCCTATGAATATTAAATAGGATAATACATGTCAAGTTCCTAAGGCAGTGCCTGGCACATAGTAACAACTTATATATGCTCATATTTTGCTATTATGATGACTAATGTTATCGCTATTATTATTATTAAAAGCTTGAGATCTCTTTGTGCCAGAGGCCTTCACTTTCAAACACATGGTGACATTCCAGCCCTATCTATTTCAGTGGAGTTCAGTGAGAAATAAAAAGACTATTTACCATATATGCAGAATTGAAAAAGGGAAAAAGGATACTGGATAATCTATGCAAATTAGAAGCTATCAACATAAAAAACCATCTTTCTGTACCATGTGTTCATCACATTCTGTATTTGCAAATAAACAGCTGCTACATTACTTGATCTCTGGGTAACAGACCTTTATATGGTAGAATCCCTTGTGGGCTGCATAATTGGTGGTAGAATAACAAAGGGAAGTAGAGGAGAGTAGCAGTATGATAGCCTCAAAGTACAGATTTAGCAGATCTATCTGCTGGAGAAAGAGAAAAACATACATGATTAGTAAAAAGCTATAATGGTGTCTTGGAGAGATTTTTAGTTTTTATTATTGTTTTTGTGTCATAGACTAGAATCCTGTATAGAGAGATTTCAATATACCTTGAGATGCGTGTGCTTTGACAGAAAGAGCCCAGAATTAAGCCTAGAATGCCAAATTCCTAAGAAAACTTACATATATGCAGACTGCATGAAAATGAAAATGATACATTGATATTTGTGGAGTATGCAAAAATATTTTTTTTACCCTTAGAAATAGATTAAAAGGTTGATGGCAGTGACTACATTTCTTTTGTTTCCATCACTTGGTAAGACTCACTGCCATTCTTTTTTTTTTTTTTTTAAAGATTTATTTATTTATTCGTACAGAACTGGGGTACAGGCCAGAGATGCGGAGGGTGAGAGGATTCACCAGAGGCAGAGTAGGGAGCAGAACAGGAAGTTCGAGGACTAAGTACACTGCTGAAGGGAGCAGCGGGCAGGTCAGGAGAGGTCTGCCATGCCATGTGGTCACCTCCGGGGAAGGGGAGGGGTCGAACTCATGCTGAAGTGGCTTCTTTGTGCTGTGCTTTAACCCGATGTGCCACCAGGGAGGGCCCGACTCACTGCCATTCTTAATCAGCCAGAAGTAGGCTCTATCAGTGGCACTTTAGTTTCCAATGTAATGATGATCTCTTTAAGAGGTAATTGTCATTCTCAGTGGCCTTTAATTCACTGCAGCTGCCTGGAGATTGTAAACCTGTGTGAACAGAGACCATGCCTATTTTCATGGGCCATAGTAGTGAGTAAAATCCTGGTCCCAATGTCATAGGAGCTCAGTAAATATTTGTGAATCTGTAAGATATGTGTAACCAACCATTTGACCTTGATAACTAGAGAACCACGATTATATATCAGTTCATAAAGCTAAACATTGCTGTTGGTTTATCTGATGTTTATTAATTATTAGTATTAGCTAAATTTATTAGACCATATTTATGATTTAGTGCTTTATTTCCATCATTATGTAAAGTCTACAGAATAGACATTTTAGAATAGTGATAAGAACATAATTGTTAGTTCTATGACTTTGAAAAAGTTACTCAACTTATTCTTGTCTCAGTTACCTTGTTTGAAAAAGGATAATATTGTTTCTTGAATGAAGTTGCTTTGAGTATTAAATGAGATTATGCCTCTAAAACATATTCATGGTGTTACACATAATAGTAACTGCTCAATATCTTTAACTACTATTATTATTTTCCCATTGTTTTCAATGAAGTTCTAAGAGGTGAAATAGTTTTCTCAGGTCTAAGAGGCAGATCCAGGATTCTTGAATTCAGGTCTATTTGACTCCAAATTTGTGATCTTTTTACTTTATCATATATGTTTCGATATATGTATTTCAATATATATATATATATGTGTGTGTGTGTGTGTGTGTATACATATATATATATAAGAATAATTATAGTTATAGCCTGAATTTTCAAAGACCTTGAATATGATGATCTCATTTTCCAATATAGAAGTTTTATTGATTTCTTGTACTCGGTACTTCCTTGGTAATCTGAAAGGTCACGAATACACTTGAAAAACATAATCTTAGTATTAAAAAACAGTATAACAACTGTTGTATTTGTGTGTTTGGAAATATCTTGAAAATTATATAACTAATGTTAATAGATTTAGAGACCCTTCAATTTTTCCCAGTTTCTTTGATTCAGTTAACATGGGAAAATGACCTTAGGTAAAGAGGTAAAACAAATGGTCCATAAATGGGCATATTTTGCCTGAAGACAGGGAAGCTTAAAGACTTCAGTCCAGAAGTCTGTGATTCTGTGTGCCATGCATGTTGACAATGAGACTGCCCTTGATGTGCGCTACTTGGCCAAGCATCAGCGCACCCTACTGGGCTTCATAGCGCTTCTGCTCTTCCAATCAGAGATCCTAGCCCCAAATACAGATGAAAAGATTTAGAGTGGGGAAAGAAAGATTATTGGCCTAAGGCTAATTTTTATTTTATAATTTCTCACTATTTTCTCAAACTATTGAAACTGATAATCAGATAACTGAGTAGAATGCAATTAACTTCTCAGCCTTATAACTCATGCTTATTCTCAGGCATATGCAAACTGGAAAGCTCTTCATTTACGGATGGGGTTATACTGATATACCCATCATAAATTGAAACTACCACGAATCAAAAGTGTATTTAATACAGGTTTCCTAT